TGAAAATGAGTTCTCGTGACTCAGTGAGACTACCTGGATAAATAAAGGTAAATGAAAAATAAAAGTTTAAAATAGAAATACTCACATCATGAGGCCGAGGTTGTGTGTGAGACGTGCACGTTCCTGAGAGTGTGTGTGAGACGTGCACGTTCCTGAGAGTGTGTGTGAGACGTGCACGTTCCTGAGGTTGTGTGTGTGACGTGCACGTTCCTGAGAGGCCACAGACAGAGCAGCTGCAGCTTTTGTTGAGTTCCTGTAGTCCTGCAGTTTTCAAGATGAAATGAAAAAGCATCATGAAGATGAACTTTACAGTCTCTAGTTACCTGTTCATAGAAACACATGGAGGTGTCTCACCTTGTGACTCACAATAAAATATGTAACTTTATGAACTCTAATGAACTTATAATGATGCTCCTACTCTCTGAAGGTGAACCGATGGTACCACACCATCTCTGAGTCGGACAGTCTGACCAGTTTGATCAAAATCCTCCAGTTTAAAATCCTCACTGCTCAGATGAATCCTCCTCAAAGATACTTCCTCCTCTTCCTCACATCTTGTTCTTTGGGAAACCTTCAAAATGAAAACAGGAGATTTGTGTCTTCACAAAAACATTGTACAGAGGAGGTCAATCTTATTTTATAACTACTTCCTATATTCTCCCGAGTTTAATTTTTTTTATATCCTAGAACTTAAACAAAACTCCAGTTCTGATACATATCTGTTGATAATAAAAGTTTCATCAACTTTTTGTGAGTCACTTAAAGTTGGTTCAACTTCTTGTGTGGGTCTGTTAGCAATAGATTGTCTTAACCTTCTCCAATCATCATCATCATCATCATACATTTCTTCCTCATTTATCTGTTTGTTTCTGTACATCTAGTTTGGTAACAGATTTAACAAGTCTGTGCTTATGGACTCTCAGTTTCAGGATGGTAAATTAAATAGGCTGGGCTGTTTTTATCATAGCCTACAAAGAAAGCTTTGTCACCTTTTGCATCAAGTTTACCCATGTTTTGTTTGTATCTGTAACATGCTGATCCAAATTTTTGCATTTTAGACAGATCTGGCTTTTTATCTGTCAATATCTGGTAAGGAGTTTTATTTGTTTGTTTATTAAAACATCTATTTCTTGTTGCTGCTGCCGTTTGGACGGCGTAGTTCAGAGATATTTTGTAAACTGGCTTTCGGTTAGCATACACCTGCCCAATTCTAAAGGAGTACGCCAACCTCTCTCAGCTGTACCATTCTGATGTGGTGAATATGGAGCTGATGTCTCATGCCTAATACCATTCCTTCTTAACAAAGTTTGAAAATCTCTGCACATAAACTCAGTACCATTATCTGACCGGATACATTTTATGTTCCCATATGGGGCAACATCTGCTATAAATTTTTCTGTTGCTTGTAGTTGTATTGTGTCAGATTTAGATTTTAAGAAATATACAAACATTGCATTGGAATAGTCGTCAGTGAATGACTGTACAGAAATGGTCAAAATTGTGCAAAGTTTTGAAAACGTGTACGGCGTCGGCACCTGTGACCTGCAGAACAAAACTCGGGGCTTCAAAAACCCACAGTCGCTTCATTTTTTTTTTTTTTTTGTGCCTGACGTCACTTCCTCTTTCCTCTCTCTGGCTTCCATCTTGGTCCCGCATGTGTCTGCTGTTAGTTTACAGGTCAGTGAGGAGCATTTTATACTTTCTTCCCTGCACTGTTACTCCCTGATCCGACGGTAAGAGGTCAACAGAAACCTTTTCGGGCTCCATGGCTGCAGGCTGCCGGTGTTTGACGCTAACGCTGCTGACGGCTCGGTGTGGCGGCGAGACGCGGCCGAGCCGTCCGCTAAGCTAACCAAAGTTAGCCTCCAAGTTGTTGCTCAACCACGCCTCATAATATATGTTGATTGGGCTCTGATTAAATTGCCCTAACGCTAGTTGTTGTGTTGCTGACTCGTTATGTTTGAAATGTTATTTTTTGTCTTTTCTCGTCCAATACACAAATTGGAGAATGTTTCGTGTCTGCTAACAGAGCTGCTGGCTTCTTGTCGGACAAAAGCTACTTTTTATCTCGCTTGTGGCTTTTAATGTTTTATATCTGCGTTGAAAATAACACAGAGTGTAACCACAGCCTTACTGAAGCTGCTGTGTGTTTTATAAAGTTGTCTGATCGCACTCGGCTTATGAAAAGTGGCTGTTTTTAAAGACATTTCCCTCATCATTTGTACACGTTTGTAAACAAACAGGAGGTGCAGCTGATGACCAGTGATCAAATACCAGTGATGTTCAAAATGTCTGGCTGCCGGTGTGGAACACTAAATGTTAAGAATAAAGGCTCTCCTTTCGGCTGTGTCCTCTTTAGGGTCAGCACAGCTGGTAATCCTCACTCCAACCATCTGCATGTCCTCCGTACTGCATCGATGCTATTTAAAAAAAAAAGTTAGATTCATACTTTTATTCAAATAACAAACGTAGCATTTATTTCAGAGGATAAACAAAAAAATTGTTGCAAAAATGTTAAGTTCTGACTCTCTGAAATTCAAACATCATCCTTCCGAACATCTGCTGTTTCATGACTATTGTAAAAATGTTGGTGTTTTCCTCTTCCATGGCTCGAAGCTGCTGCTTCTTATTCAGATCATTTGTATCGAATGTGTCCGTCTGTATGCCAACGCCAGCTGGAAAGCCCTGGGTTCAATCCCTGGTTGGACCTGAGCTCTTTCTGTGTGGAGTTTGCATGTTCTTCTCGTGTTTGCGTGGGTTTTCTCCGGGTACACTGGTTTCCTCCCACAGACAAAAACCTTGCATTCAGGCCTCCCTTGCAAAAGAGATCTGTGATCTCAGTGGAATTTGCCTGGTTAAATAAATGTTAATGATAATGATGTAAGATCTATTCCTCCATAATGGAGAAAGGCAGAAAGAACCGCTGTAACATTTGAGCATCATGTATCTGTCCTGAGAAGAAGCGACCAGTATGCATCCACGCAGTAACATCACAATCAACTGAAACATTCAAAGACGTTCAGCGGTCCTGAGGCTGTCAGTCAGGCTTCACGATGCATCACAAACTTTTATTTTGTCTTTTGGGAGTGAGAGTAACTGAGTAATGTGAGTTAGTTCACTATCGCAAAGGACCTTGTGGACTGCAATACAGTTGCACTCAGGTCCCAATAATCCGGCCCCAGCCCGTAGCCATCATCTCCGAACCCCACCCAATCTGACGAATTAACGGTAATTACAGGTCTAAAGCCAACCCCCCCTGACATTTTTAATTAAGCTTTGACTGCTTATATCACAGACTATTATTAACGGATGTAAAGGGGCAGAAGATCAGAGCTGAGGAGACATCAGAGCGCATTACATGCTTCCCCTGCTTCTGCCTGCATTGGACCCTGCTCCGACATGTCGGATATTTTGTGATCTCACGTGTTTGGGTCTCGGCTGCGTGCGTCCGCTGAATGAACGTCCATTTGGGCTGATGTCCATCTGAAGCTTAACTGAACTTTTTACCTTTTTCAACCGGCCGGTTAGCGTGGGGTCAAATGGCCACATGCGGCAGGTTTAATACGGCAAGCCGTGTTTGCATATATTGGATCGTCGGCTGCACACATTCCTGACACAATAAAAAGCCCGACACCGACCCGGCCCGCACATTAAGCACATTATTATGGCCCGGTCCGTATCTGGGTCGGGCAGGTTCGGGTTAGAAATGACAGCTCTACTGCATTAAATGCATCTATGCTCTGCTGTCAGTACTTTGTTTGGTCAATACAGCAGGTTCTCACTACTCGCTGCCCACATCTGGTTTGCTGCCCACATCTGGTTTGCTGCCCACATCTGGTTTGCTGCCCACATCTGGTTTGCTGCCCACATCTGGTTTAGATAATAGTGAAGTTTTCTGTACAACTATTGCTATTTTAGAACTAAACTTTGGTTGATTTTCTTTAACATTAATGTGTAGTTAAAAAATATTTCTTTAATTAGCCTGCTGGCATTCCAGTGTTTTAGCTGACACAGCTTTTTAAGTTATTTTCTATACTTGTGAATAAATTAATAGTTAATTTTTAATCAGCAGAATACCAGTGTCTGATGATTTCTGCTTCATGCCACCTGAAACATGTTTCTGTTGTGAACGTGTCTCAGTCAACCTGCATTCATAAAAACGATCACTATTAAGACGGTTATCTTCTTAATTTCTGATTTGTTTGCGTCTCGGTAGCCTGCTGTTTAGTGTTGAGTTCTGCATCTTGCTGCATCTGTAACTAAATTAATTTTAATTATGTTAAGTTTTAATCAAGTCAACTTTTTCCAGGTGAAAAGCTGCACACAAGACTCTGACACTGTTTGAACTTTTTTCTTTGCAGATGAAAGAATCAATTATGAATCAAGAGAAACTTGCTAAACTACAAGCGCAAGTGCGCATCGGCGGAAAGGTAAATATTACAAAGAGTTTCAAATTAAATGTAGCGCCCCACTTTCTCAGTGCCTGAAGATGTGCAGGTGTCGAGGGTGACGGAGCGTACCTGCTGTTAGGAGCATCGTTGCTGCTACAAATACTTAAAAAACTAAGTGGAGTAAAAATAATCATTTTTATTTTTGAGCCTAGTTTGTACAGCTGAAGAAAACTTGTCTAATTTTTGAAACCATTATCCATTCGAGTTTTATTTTGGTGTATTTACTTTTAGTTTTTAAATGTGCAATTTTAAACCACAAGTCCCAGATTTAACCTGATGGTGCCATCAGAAAAGATTTGTTGGATTCTACAGAAACATGTTTTTTTGTTTCTCATAGGGAAGTGCTCGCAGAAAGAAGAAGGTCGTACACAGAACAGCAACCGCAGACGACAAGAAGCTCCAGTTCTCCTTAAAGAAACTTGGTGTAAACAACATCTCCGGTATCGAAGAGGTGTGTTCTTTAGATGTGCAGGTGAATCTGTGCTGGCGCTGTTTTGTAAGGACTCTGCCTCTTCCAGGTTAACATGTTCACAAATCAAGGAACGGTCATCCACTTCAACAACCCCAAAGTGCAGGCCTCTCTGGCAGCCAACACGTTCACCATCACTGGCCACGCTGAGACCAAGCAGCTGACTGAGATGCTCCCTGGCATCCTGAACCAGCTGGGGGCCGACAGCCTGACGAGCCTGAGGAGACTCGCCGAGGCCCTACCCAAACAGGGTTCGTATCCTCAGCTTTTAATGGGGTTGGGCCACTGCACAAATATACCTGCTGTTGGAGTCCATCTACATGAAATTATTTCATTTTAGTTAAAAAAAAACCAATAGTTTTGATCAGTAATGTAAAATTAAAATCCAAATCTAGACATACTGTGTTACAGCAGTCCAGATGTTTAAACTGTTTGTTTAAATTAACAACAGTTTTGGTTTAAAATAATGTTGTTGTTGGGTGTTCTGTACCTTGCCCCCCCCTGCCCCCCGATTGGCTCAGTGGTTAGCACTGTTGCCTCACAGCAAGAAGGTCCTGGGTTCAATCCCCGGTTGGACCTGGGGTCTTTCTGTGTGGAGTTTGCATGTTCTTCTTGTGCTTGTGTGGCTTTTCTCCAGGTACTCCGGTTAGGATCATAGACATACCGGTGTATACTAGGGCTTTAATAGACTATTCGAGTAATCTACACATCGATTCCTAGGACATCTATTGAAGTTTTTAATTTCACGTCGAGTATTCGTGGTGACGTCATTACGCCGCCGTTACGTCATTGCGTCACGTGATCCGCACCGGCGCGGGTTACAAAATGGATTCCTTCAAGCAGACAGATGGAGCAGAGCAGGCCCGGTCTTGACAAACAGGTAGAAATGCATCAATAGTGTGGAAATATTTCACTAAAGATGAATCTTCTAGTTCAACTACTGTAAGGAAACAGAAAATGAATCAACTTCCTGACTGTTTGGAGCGCGTTGCGAACTGGTGTTGCACCATATTCTGTGACAGTAGGGGGCGGTGTTGCACTGTTGCAGGTCACAGAGTATGGTGTAACACCCATACCATACCATACCAATTTATTTATATAGCACTTAAAACAGCAACAAGGCCAACCAAAGTGCTGTACAAAAGAACACAAACATGCACAGCAGACAGGAAAACATAAAATAGAAATACAGATACAAATAGCAGCAGAAGCTAACTAAAATGGCCAACAGAGTAGAGAACAGACCGGACCAAAACAAATCACACCGTGTTAAAGGCAAGAGAATAGAAGTGGGTCTTCAAGCGAGACTTAAAGACTGAGAGTGTGGGAGCCTGCCGGACACTCAGTGGCAACTCATTCCACAGTCGTGGACCTGCAACAGAGAAAGCCCTGTCACCCCTGAGCTTACTACGGGTTTCTGGGACTGAGAGAAGCATCTGGTCTGCTGACCTCAGAGAGCGCGGTGGGACATATGGCTGCAGAAGATCAGTGAGATAGGATGGGGCGGAACTGTTCAGTGATTTAAAAACGTACATGAGAATTTTGAAATGGATCCGAAGGTGAATGGGTAGCCAGTGCAGGGAGGCCAAAACTGGCGTGATGTGCTCTCTATAGCCTGTACCAGTTAAAAATCGGGCTGCAGCATTTTGGACCAGTTGTAGACGAGCAATGGAGGACTGACTGATTCCAAACAGAAGTGAATTGCAGTAATCAAGCCTAGATGTTATGAAGGCGTGGATCACTGTCTCAAGGTTCTTTTTGGAGAGTATAGGTTTCAGCTTAGACAGCCGTCTCAGCTGAAAAAAACAGGATTTGACCATCATGTTTACGTGGCTGTTGAGTTTTAAGGACGGGTCCATTATCACCCCCAGATTAGTGACCTTTTGTTTCTCTAGCGGGGCTAGAGAGAAAAGGTCAATGTCATGGTTCATGAGTGAGCCACTGGGATGGAACAGCATGACCTCAGACTTCTTCTCATTGAAGCTTAAGAAGTTTAAAGCCATCCAGTCCCGGATGTCAGCCAGGCAGTCAAGAAGAGGCTGAATCGAGCGTGTGCCTCTGTGCCTCAGGGGGAAGTAAATTTGGCAATCATCGGCGTAGAAATGAAATGGTATGTTGTGTTTGCGGAAGATAGCACCTAGTGGCAGCAGGTATAAAGAAAAGAGAAGGGGACCGAGGATGGACCCCTGCGGTACCCCCCACTGGAGCGCTGTCGATGCCGAACTAGAATCTTTGATATTGACACAGAAGGTTCTGTCAGATAGGTAGGACCCAAACCATTTAAGGGCTGACCCTGTGATGCCCACCCACTGCTCCAGTCTAGAAATGAGGATCTTGTGGTTGATGGTGTCAAAAGCAGATGTAAGGTCCAATAGGACAAGCAGCACAGAATCACCTGCGTCTGTGGAAATGAAAATGTCATTAAAAACCTTCAGTAGAGCAGTTTCAGTGCTATGGAGAGATTTGAAGCCAGATTGGAATAACTCTAGGATAGCGTGATCCCCCAAAAACTGTTTCAACTGAGACTCCACAATTTTTTCCAGTAGTTTAGAGGTGAATGGGAGTCTGGAGACAGGCCGGAAGTTGGACATGACTGAGGGGTCAAGGTTAGGTTTTTTCAGGAGGGGCTGGACAGCAGCATGTTTAAAAGTCTTTGGCACCACACCTGAGGATAAACTGCTATTCAGAATAGCGAGAATAAAAGGACCCAGGGTAGGAAAAACTTCCTTTAGCAGTCGAGGGGGGACCACATCAAAGGGGGAACCAGATGGCTTCATGCTGCACATTACCTGCTCCAGAGAGGACAGAGAGATGGGCTCAAAGTGGCCAAACACAGCCACGCACTGAGATGGGATGGACAGATCATGGCAAAATGAGTGCCCGGGTGTTTGCCACTTTTTCTAAAAAGAAATGGAGGAAGTTTTCACACAGCTCAGTTGAGGCTTCCAGAGGTGAAGGCTCACTGAGGTGTAGAACTGAGTTCAGGGTGGAGAAAAGAACTCGGGGGTTGTGGGAGTTGGAGACAATTAAATCAGAGAAGAATTTACATTTGGCAGCTTTAACGGTTTTCTGATAGTGACGCCAACTCTCCCTTAACATTTGAAAAGAAACCTGGAGCCTGTCCTTCCTCCACCTTCGTTCAGCTTTGCGACACTGCCGCCTAACAGCTCGAGTGACGTCATTCAGCCAGGGCTCTGATTTAAGTTTCGTTTTTCTGGTCTTAAGGGGAGCAACACGGTCCAGAACACCCGGTCCAATCTACCAACCAGCTTCCTTCTGACCTTGTTTCACAAACAAAAAGCAAAAAATATTAATCTTTAAACCTATTAAAAAAATCTATAAACATACTAATCTCTAAAACTAAACTTAATGCGCACCACAGCTGGCGGTGGTGCGTGGTGGGACCCCCACTGTTTGAATTTCGTTTTTGACGTGCTGCACGTTTCTTTAAGTTTGCAGCTTAATAATAATAATAACTAATAGTTTAGTTTTCCCTGTGACTTATTTGCAATATGATAAATGGTAGGAGCAAAATATATGCTCCCAATGTTTTTTGATCTTTTTTTGTAAATAATGACCTTTTTTGCGGTTTTATTTATTTATTTATTTTTGTATCTTTAGATCCTATGATGTCATCAAGTACTCGAGTTCTACTCGAGTTTTATTATGTTAATGTCGAGTTTTAAAATTATGTAGTCGTTCAACCCCTAGTGTATACATGGTTAGGATGCTTTGAGAGAAGTGGAGCACTACGATTGTAGCATCTTAGCTTAGCGCTAAGCTAAGTGTGTTACACTGTGAGAAGCTGCAAGTTTAAGACGCTGTGTGTTAAGGTGCATTAAAGTTTATATTTCTTTAACCCCCTCCACCACCTTATTGTCCTCGAGCTTTGTGAGTAACATTCTTTAGACCAGTGGTCCCCAACCTTTATTGCGCCACGGACCAGTTTAATGTCAGACTATATTTTCATTGGGGGGGGGTCTGAGGGTCCTACTCCAGAGAATTTTGGATAAAGTAGATGCCATTTCCTGCATTCTAGTGTATTTTACAAAGGTTTATTACAGTAGATTAACTTGAAACAAAAGATGTAAACTCATTATTGAAATGACTGCAAAGCGTTCGTAATGCAAAACCACTGCAGCTCTGCAGGTAAACCGCTGCAGCTCTGCAGGTAAA